GGTTCAGCAATGGTCCTCTAAATGGGCTGCAGCTTTACTGTTCTTCTGAAATCCCAGAGGTTGTTACTCAGCCCCTTGGAGCGGTGCAGAACTACCAGAGCCAACCACAAATCCATCCCCGTACAGAAGCCACATCCAGGGATGCCAGACCTTCACGTGAAAGGCCAAGTGAAGGCCTCCCACGAGTGACTAACAAACCGTTTTGAACAAAATAAAATGCAGGACGACGGATGAGGCTCTGCCACGTAAACACACCCCAGGTTACGTCTCTGCTTCACGACCCCAAAACCTCGGATGAGAGCACAAGTGCCAGCCGTGCCGCGCTCCGAACCTCCCCATCGCCTTCAGACGGCTGAGCCAACTGCCACCCGACAGAGGCTTTCTTCACCACCAGCCAGAGTCGGGGCCGGACTCTTTCCAGTGGTGCCCAGCGACAGGACAAGGGGCAACGGGCACAAACTGGAGCAGAGGAAGCTCCAGCTGAACCCGAGGAAGAACTTCTTCCCTCTGAGCGTGACGGAGCCCTGGCCCAGGTGGGAAGTCAGACCCAGAGCACAGCTCGGCGACTATTTGTCAGCCTCTTTATAGGAGCTGAAGTTATCAGAACCAGTTGTTTCATCAGAACCAGTTGTTTCATCTGTCAGATGGTCCTTTTCTTCACAATATCCGTTCTCCCTCCCGAGCCGCAAAAACCTCGGCGTCTTTCCCATTTCTCTTTGCTTCTCTCTCCGGGTTGTTCCACTTCTGAGACTCCCCCCCGAGAGTTTTACGGGGCCTTTCACACAAAGGCAGGAAGGAACCCGGACCCCGGGAGCATCCTCACGGAGGAACGAGGGACGGGCGAGAGGAAACCGGACGCTGCTCACCTTCCTGGTCACAGCCGGGTCCAGATAGCCCTTCAGCTTCTGGATGTACGTGTGGGGTGGATTCTTCACTTGAAATCTTTCCTGCAAAGGACACAAGAACAAACATCAGCTGTTTCGTAAAATCTTCTGTATTTTCTTACTCTATATATAAAATGCATGCACACTGTGTATATATTAACAGTATCTATTTATAACATAGTTTTATATGTACATACCTTATGTTCATAAATACATAATCGATGCATATACAGCATGCATGCAAACAAAATATATTTACATGTATCTTGATACTCTGAGAATTGATATTTATATAGGATGCCTAAAAATATACCTTATATACTCAACGACAATGTTGAATGTCAGCTGCAGACACAAACACACGCGTCTGCAGCAGCCAGGTTTCTGCTAGCTGGGAGCACTGACACAAAAGTGAAGTCCCAGAAGAGCGGACGCGTGTCCGTGTCGGATCGAAAGCCATCGCCACAGGAGCTGAGATGCCCTTTTTATCACTTGGAACAAGCCTAAAACCACGCTGCACGGTCTATTCACGGGAGAAGTCACACCATTTCATTGCTCAGGTTCCAGAAAAACAAATGCAGGAGGAGCATGTAAGCAACAACCAAGCAATATTTTAAGGCCATGCTCTGCCATCGGATTGTCTCCGTCAGTGGCCTGCCAGGTCCCAGCCCACCCCTGACTGCAGGTTCCCATCTACCAGCTCAGGCACGGGACCTACAACTGGGATGCTTTAGGAGGAGTGTGGGCAGTGGGTTGATGGAGGTTCTCCTTCCCCTCTGCTCTGCCCTGGGGAGGCCCCATCTGCAGTGCTGGGTCCAGTGCTGGGCTCCCCAGTTCAGGAAAGATGAGGAGCTACTGGAGAGAGTCCAGCGGAGGGCTACGAGGATGAGGAGGGGATGGGAGCATCTCTCCTGCGAGGAGAGGCTGAGGGAGCTGGGCGTGTTCAGCCTGGAGAAGAGAAGGCTGAGAGGGGACCTTCGAAATGCCTCTAAATATCTGCAGGGTGGGGGTCAGGAGGACGGGGCCAGACTCTTTCCAGTGGTGCCCAGCGACAGGACAAGGGGCAACGGGCACAAACTGAAGCACAGGAAGCTCCAGCTGAACATGAGGAAGAACTTCTTCACTCTGAGGGTGACGGAGCCCTGGAACAGGCTGCCCAGGGAGGTTGTGGAGTCTCCTTCTCTGGAGATATTCAAGACCCACCTGGACTAGGTCCTGTGCAGCCTGCTGTAGGTGACCCTGCTTCGGCAGGGGGTTGGACTGGGGGACCCACAGAGGGCCCTTCCAGCCCCTACCATTCTGTGATTCTCTGATTCTCTGATTCTGTGGACTTGTCTGCAACCACAGTCCTGCAGAGACCCATGGGGTGTCTGGGGTGGACATGAATCCCAACCTCCTCCCATGATGCCGGGTGAGCAGGGCGGGGGCTCCCACCACTTCACCCACATGGGAGGTGTTTTTAGGAGGGTGAGCCATCAACGCAACGCTCCAGCACCACGGCGTTCCTCACCCGCGGCGCTCGAATGGGGAGAGCATCGGTGGTTGAGCTCGTCCCAGTTGAGCTCATCCCAGTTGAGCTCGCCCCAGTTGCGCTCGTCCCAGCTGAGCTTGTCCCAAGCTCATCCCAGTTGAGCTCGTCCCAGTTGAGCTCGTCCCAGTTGAGCTCATCCCAGTTGAGCTCATCCCAGTTGAGCTCGTCCCAGTTGAGCTCGTCCCAGTTGAGCTCGTCCCAACCGCCCACGGCTCCCAGCAACTCGGAGGGTTTCCTTCAGCGCCTGTGTCACACCAGGGCAGAGCTGAGGGATCTCCAGCACGCTGGGAACCAAGCCAGCACGTGCTACCAAGACCACCGCTACCCTTACCAGGCAAATTATGGACCAGATGCCCACCCCAGTCGCCCTGGAAAAGCCTGGGAACCACCACGTGCCTCTCCTCCCCGCCAGCACCGGAGCCTTACCCACCTCAGGACACGGAGGAGGGCAGGCTGCACGAAACACGAGGTGTGCCGCCATGTCCAAGCCTGCTCAGAGCATTACCAGAAGTCCCAATACTATTTGTACCTTGGAAGAATTTTACACTCTTCTGCCCTTTCCCTTGAGGAAAGATCTCATAACAGTTCCCTCCCCAAATCTCGCATTTTATAAGTGATATCTGAAACCTCCCTTTATTAGGTCAGGATGCAATTCTGACTACTTTATCTGAAAGCTATTTCATAATGAATAGGACACTGCTGCCCAGTTGCCAGGACGTGCTGTCTGAACACCAAAAGTTGTTCCTGTT